TATTAATCAGATCATAATAATTATAAAATTAAATATTATATAATTCTATTTTATTTTACTGGAAATTTTATAATAAAAATTTAATGTATTGTAATTATACAAAATATTGTACTTATTCACTGTTATATATATATATATATATATTTAGACTACTATTTTAAGAAGAGTATAATAATAATAAAATTGAGAATATTGTATATGAAATTTAAGACATTACATATGGTTCGACCTTACCTCCATACAGATTTATATTGACCACTTTATACATGTATACAATATTGACACCATAAAAAATATTGACACATATTTTTTTTTGGACATATTATTATCACCTAAGGTGTCAATTTTTTTATAGTGTCAATATACCACATCAACTATGGTCCTAGAGGAGATTCAACACTCCACTTCAAGAGTCAACTTTTCAATAAAGGGTTTTCAATAATTAGGCTCATAGAATACCACAACACCATATCTTTACAATGGGTTATTCAACTTATAAAACAACTTCTCCTTTAGTCCTAAGTCAATCAATACAACTCAACACCATGCCTTAAGCATCATCAACACAACCATTCTAACATTACACAGCATACAACATCTCTACATTTTTCAACTTTCATTCAACTTATAACTTTAAACAACTTAAATAACCAAATATGTCATTCTAGCACCATATACAAGGCATTAGAATCATATAGTAACATACAACATGTGAGGGATTCAACTATCATATACATACTCAACACTTAGTCAATTAAACAACACATTTTCAATTGACAACCCATGTAGTGTCATTCTCCCTAGTGTTTGGCGTCATTGCGGTAGGGATCCCTTATGACAATCATGCTTGTGTATAGCAATACCTATGTCTAGCCCCATTTTAGTCAGAGAGCTTCTACTTGATTCACGCCTGACATCACAACATTGGTGCCCAACGTTATCTAGGTAAAAAGCTTTTATCTTGATCATGTCTGACACCACTCAACTAGGGTTTGACATCACCAAGTCAAAGATCTCTAAGAGCATCCACACTTGATGTCATTCAACTCACACTCGACGTAACCAAGTCAGAGAGATATTCTCTAACTCACACCCGATGCTATCAATCTTGGGCTCGGTGTTAGTGTGGCAAATATCCTCTAGCCCGCATCACGCCTGGTGCCTTGAAGTTGCACTCAATGCAATGGTGACTTTTGCACTTGGCAAAATCACGAATTTGGCTTTTCACACTTAAAACTTAGAAAAATCCGACATACGATTCACCAAATAACATCCATACATCCCCACAATTCCATTTTTATCAAATAAAACAACATGCAACCAATATAGAAGACAAATTTACCAAGTCATCTTCAAAATACCAAAAACAATCTAAGAACAAGGACCTAATTCTCAAATCAGCAACAACTCAATTAGTTCATGAATGAATCAAGTGAAAATCAGCACATATAACACAAAATCAACAAGTTACAAGTTTCCTTTACCTTTGAGAATCAATCAGAAAGAGAAGGAAGAGAAGAAGGAGTCTCCCAATGAACTTCGAATGACAACTAAGACTCTTTAATTCTAAACTCTATAGTTCTTAATCACACCAACAACCACAAAATTTACTCTTAGGGAAGGAATAGAAGGAAGTTGTGAAGTCAAAACAGAAAATGACTCTCAATGGCTCTAAAATCTTTCTCTCTAACTTTTTTATAAGCTTTACGAAGAAACGAACTTATGAATTTCACTTCTAAAGAAAAATCTTATACATCTTCCCTTAACGAGTCAAACTTAATGTTTAAAATAACTCTTAAACAACTAAAATCATAAGAATTCTTAAATTTCTAGAATTTTCCAGCAATTAAACAATTAATCACAACAACAATCAAATTTTTTTAAAAAATCAACAATAAATCATAAAATCACAGTGTTACAATACGCACTAAGGAGTGTTTGTATGAGATAACAAGACTTATCTAATTTTTTTAAAAAACATTTCATCCAATTTTCATTATAAGTAATAAGAAAACATTATATTTATTGATTTAAACTTAAATAAATTTTAATTATTTTTATTTCATTTAATAATATTATCTCAAAAATATCATTTATTTAATTATTTTTTATTTTCAATGACTCAATGACTCATCCTTATTTTTAACCAACTTTTTTTTGTATCTTTAAATGTTCTAGCCTTATTTTTATCCCAATATTTTAGAATTTTAAAATCTAAAAGTAATCTTTTTTCTCTCAAATATACCTTATTTTAATCTATGGACAGTACTGCAAACATTAATAATTAATGTATTAAATTATTAAATAAAGACATTTTAACCTAAATATAAGTAATATTATGATTCTATTGAATATTTTTTAATGTATATTATATAAAGCAAAAATATTTGAAGTCACGCATATTAAGAAAAAGTAGTTAAATTTATTTCATTTAATAAATTTCATAAAAATTAAATTTTATTTCCTAAACTACTCCTTAATAATAATTATTAGAAATAGTAATCACATTTAATTTACGAGGCATTTTTAAAATAATAATATTAAATAAGATAAAATTAGTTAGAAATTATTTTTATTTAAATAAAAAATTAGATTTTTTTTACTTATATACAAGCACACATTTATCTTAAACATAATATCAAGTTTCAAAAAAAAAAAGTAATTTTAAAAAAAATTGAAATAAGATTGACATAAAGATAAACCACGATCTAAGTCTAAAGTCAATCACTAATCTTTACAAATATTTTTAGTAGAATTATAAATATGGTCTCAAATATAAATAAATATTAAATAATTTTATTATATTTAATAATATTATCTTTAAAATATCTTTTCATTTAATTAAGATTATGTTTTTAATAATTGTTTTTATTTTTGATATAATAATTTCCGATGAAAATAATTTAGGAAAATGATTTATTTTTTTAAATGGTATTAGTAAAATAAAATGACATCAATTATCTTTATTAATTAATGTAAATAATTTTTTTGTTACTTATATTTCATATCATAAAAGTATGTATGTTGAAATCAAATATAAATAAATTTGAATTATTTTACATTATTTAATAACATTATCTAAAAATACTTATATTTAATTAAATAGGAGATTGTATTTTAATGATATTTCTTTTTAATATAAAGTTTCAATAAAAATCCTTTAAAAATGAGATCAATAAAATTAAATGATGTTAATTAAATTTTTTATTTTAACATTTTTTTACTTCTATATTCGAAACTGAAGAAAAATTTAACTATTTATTTTAATAGACATGAATTATTATTATTTTATATATAATTATTGAATCGAGAGAATAAATCCGTGGTTGCCAAGAATATCTATTGTTGCACGACACATAATTGTTAAAGGGTTATAGCAACCAATGGTATCTAAGGCTGGGAAATTTCACCATTCAACTCAAAATTATCACATCTTTGCAAACCAAATCCCACGTGAATCGACAACAACTTCCAACACCAACCTCCTTGACATTAAACAACCAATGGAATTGTTTTGACTTGTAATTTGTCCACTTTATTTAATTTTTATTTAATTTAAATTTTTCAAAAAAAAAAATTAAAAAAAATATCAAATTAAATAAAAATTAGTAATTTGTTCTTTCTATTAGTTTGTTAGATTTATTCAAACTGGTACAAATTTTTTTGAGTCACTTTTTTTGAACTTTAAGTTGTCAATATATTCATCTAATCCATTTAAATCAACCATTTTTGATACCTTTAAAATTTACCATTTTATACAAATAATTTAATTTTTATAATTTATTTCAGTTCAGTTTTGAAACAATACAGTTTAGTTCATTTTTTTTAAAAAAAGATTTAATTTTAGTTTTTTACAAACAAATTAGTTTTTTTATTGTGCGATTAAGTTTATTTTAGTTTACATTAATTTACAAAAAATAATTAAACTATTAAAAAATAATTCCTAAAAATATTTTTCTAAAGATATTTATTTATATTTTTTATACCATGATATTAATCAGAGTATTTATCAATTTCGTCAAAAATTAGTCTTTCTTAAAATTTTAACTACATTAAGACTATCCTTTTTGATTTCGTTTTAAACTATAATCTATAATCACTGCTGACCCAAGCATAAGACTGGCCAAGTCCTAACTTCAGGCTTCTAAAATATTTTTTTTACTTATAAAACTTAATGAATCAGTTGTATCAATACTAACTTTGATTTATTAGTCATTGTCTAAATTTAGCATTGTAAGGACTGAGGTTTAATCCTAGTATTGTAATTCTTTTTGTTAAAAGTTTATTGTTTTATGGGTGACTGTTGATTTTCTTACCACTCCCTCATCTTTAAAAAAATTAATTTTAAAACTCACTTTAGACCTCATCTTTTTAGACCTTTTTATATATAATATTAATAAAGAAATAGCTTATTTTGATGTTCACATTATTTTTTTTTTTGGATAATTTTATCTTTTAATTAATTTGTTGAAATATATTTTTTATCTTTTAACCGATCATAATTTTTTAATTCTTTTATAATGAGACAGAAAGTGCTTTACCTGTATTATTAAGAAAATGATTAAGGAAAAAAAAGATTAACTGGGAAAGATTCTGTATATGATGCAGTTAAGCAGAGCGAGAGGGTCACATGGCACAGCTTCCTCTTTGTCTCTCTCATTCTCAGTTTCTCTTTCTGAACAGCATTAACCCTTCATCCACCTTCTGTCCTTTCGTCTCTTCTCTGTCCCCCAAAGTACCTACCTAATCCAAATCTTCCCCAAAATTCACGCCGCTTTTCACATTCACTGACCGATTCTTCAGTTAACTCTCTCTTCAATTCAATTGAATGGGCCTCAACCTCTCTGTTCTTCTTCTTCCTCCTCCATCCCAATGGCAAACTCCTTCTCCTCCTTGATCCTCCACCGCCCCCCCATCAACGCCCTCGATCTCCTCCTCATCTTCCTCCACACTCTCTTATAGCTCTCAACACCCTTTTCCCTTTTTCATTCTTTTCTGCCCGCAAAATTTGTTTTTTCTTTACGATTCGGATACCCTTTTGGATTCTCATATGGCTTCGGTGTTCGTGTACCACGTGGTCGGCGATCTCACGGTGGGGAAGCCGGAGCTGGTGGAGTTCCTCGAGAGTGAGACGGTGGAGTCGGCGATTAGGGCCATAGGGGAGTCCCCTGAGGGCAGCATACCCATTTGGAGGAAGAGATCTCACGTGGCGATTGAGAATAGTGAGATGAGGCAGCAGAGGTTTGTTGGTGTGCTTAGTTCCTTTGACATAGTTGCGTTTTTGGCTAAGAGTCAGTGTTTGGAGGATCAGGATATGGCCTTGAAGACTCCTGTTTCTGAGGTTGTTGTCCCTAATAATTCCATGCTCAGGGTTGTTGACCCTGCTACGAGGTTAGCCAGCACATGTTTTGATTACTTTTGGATATGATTTGATAATCGAATTTGGTTGGAATACGTTTGTGTATATATGATGAGTTTGATGATTTTTTACAATAGAGTGAATAGTGAGTGTATGCATTGATAGTGCTAACTATAAAAGAGTTTTTATACGGTCAACTAATCAACAATCCTCATGAATGAGAATTTTGTTGATTTTTACGATAATTACTTTGTCAGAAATGGTCATGGATGAAAATTTGTTTATTTATAGAATAACTATTTTAACAGTCGTAAGTAGTATGTTTTATGATTGATAGACCTGTTTACACTCATAGTGCATAGAAATTGAACTCTTTATAATATATTTTAAAACGCGTATTAAGAATGATTTCTAATTAGTTCACAATTGGCTGTATATGAAAATTAAACTCTTGATTATATTAGCTAAAACTATGTTTTTCCACTTGCTTTTGGTGTGTGCTATTTGTGAGTTTGTGGATTGCTTTGTTTAGTGGCAGGGGCAGTCAATGCAATGCTGATATGAATATGATAATAAGAATGTCATGTTACATGGGTGGTTTTTGTTCTTTTGAGTAGAAAGATTGTGATTTCTGTTGCTAGTAAAGATGAGATGTCTGGGAAATGAATGGTATTTTCATTTAGGCATCTGGGGATTAGAGAATTGCATTGTGGACGTCCTTGTTCTTGGATTGAATATGATTCCGTCCAGTTACAAGAATTTGTACTTCCCTAGTAAATTACATGATAACTTTAGTTTTCTTATGTCAAGCATTCGGATGTTAGATGCCCTTGTATCATATGCTTGGGTATCTTATACTCTTGGGTCCAAGACATATATATCCTTAATTCGAACCCGTCTTCCAGAGTTCCATATAGATTCTCTTGTTAATCGTATGTCTATGGCTTTCATCTATTCATTACAGAAGGAGCATACAAAGTTTACCAGATATTTGAATCCATGAAAATAATGCTTTTTTCTGCTAGTTGCCAAATGCATCCTTGGGATAAGGGTGTCTGCTGTGTGTCAATAACCCCCTTTCACCCTGTTTAATAGTGATTGTCCATTTTTCTTTGATTATGTGATAATTGTGATGGCCTAATATGTGATCATCCATTATTCTTTTTTAAGAACAAAGGTGAAGCATTTTTATGTAAAAAATGTGTGATGTATCATTGAATTTATTACATACTGGGCAAAGCTAAAAATGAGATAATTGAAACTTTTAAAGTGCGTATGTACTATCTACTATCTAGTGCCTGTCTTTTGCTAATATGTGATCAATGATATTCCTTATTATGATAACACAAAGTAACAAAAGGCTATAGTTTGTCAACCTTGAAGACCTGATAATCAAGTAGTTCTTGTTTGATTAGTTTGAGTTAAAACTAGTTCAAAACACATAGTAAAAATTTGTTTTAAGCTAGCCAGGTTATATATGAATCAAAAGTTTCGTTATTTCCTTCTTCCTTTCTCTGTTTCCACATTTTCAGAAATTCAAAATAGTAATAGAACTTTAATAACATTATTTGATATTAAAGTACTTCAAAACCAAACTTAGGCAAACAATATCTATGATAAAGCTAGTTTTAATTTGAACAGTCCTGAAGACTTGATCCAGTTTTCTAATGTGCCAAAACAGACCCTTAATATCTTATTTTATTTCCTCTCATCAAGGTTGATCGATGCACTGGACATGATGAAACAAGGTTTGAAACGTCTGCTTGTTCCAAAGAGTCTAGCATGGAAGGGCATGAGTAAGCGATTCTCAGTAATCTACTATGGCAAGTGGCTCAAGAATAGTGAATCTCCTAGCAACAGCAGCAACAATCTACCTCCTAACATAAATCGGAGCCCCTCAACTTCTGGCACTTCTAGCCGTGATAAGTATTGTTGTCTCTCTAGAGAAGATGTACTGCGGTTCATCATTGGTTGTCTTGGGGCTCTAGCTCCCCTTCCTCTCACTTCCATTGCTGCTCTTGGAGCAATTAATCCAAACTACAGCTATATTGAATCTTCTACTCCCGCCATGGAGGCAACTCAAAAGCTTCCTCAAGATCCAAGTGCAGTTGCTGTAATAGAAAATGCACCAGATGGTCAGTGTAAGATCATTGGAGAAATTTCTGCATGTAAGTTATGGAAATGTGATTACTTAAATGCAGCATGGGCTTTAGCAAACCTCTCGGCCGGACAGTTTGTTATGGGAGTTGAAGATAATGTCAGCCCAAGGTCACTGCCTGATTTCTGTGTAGATTCATCAGCAGCTGGAGACAATGCTTTAGCTAATGGTGGTGGTTCAAGGAAACCAAAGAAATTCAGTAGCAGGAGTATTGGGTTCTTCAACAATTCTGCAAGCCATAGCTTTGGTTCCAGGAGCATGTATAGGGGTAGAAGTGCACCTCTGACATGTAAAATTTCTAGTTCATTGGCTGCGGTCATGGCTCAGATGCTATCCCACAGGGCAACTCATGTGTGGGTGACTGAGGATGAGAGCGACGACGTTTTGGTCGGAATTGTTGGATATGCTGATATTTTAGCTGCTGTGACCAAACCACCTGCAACCATCATTCCTGTTAACAGATCTACAGAGGGGTTTGGAAATGAAATTCAGTGTTGATATTTTGCTTCAACTTTTTCAATGAGTACTCTTAGCAGTTTGTCTCTGGTGCTCTATCATACATTTAAGATGAAAATGGGTTTGGATTGTTTGTTTGTACAAGTTTATGTTAATTGGTAATTAAAAAAAAAACGAATACTGTTTTCATGGAAAAAAATAGTTTCTATCTTTAATGTGGGTGTAGTTTGTAATGTGCTAAAGAAATTTGCTCATCTAATGGATATGTTGTTCTAAACTCAGTTTGGTGATGTTTGATTTTCTTCAAAAGCATGTTTGTACAACTTACATTGGCTTGAAACAGTTTCATTGCATGTTGGGTTCCATATCCATGATTCACATTTAAAGAGAAACCATATCAAATTGATGTAAAAGCAACTAATTGTTGTTGTTTATGGTGATCCACATTCAACCAAAATTGACCAAAATTGATGTGAATTCAATCTTGCGCACAATGGAAAACAATATTGAGATTGCTTTGGGAAGATCGGTTTGCAAAATAAAATACGTGCAAACTTAAGTTTGGAAAGTTTAATCCAATTTTGCTTACTTCATTTTGTCAGCTTATGAAAACACATTATTGGGATGGGGAACATGACCTACCTACCTCAATAGCCAATAGGTCTAATGTTCAGCTGAACTCTGACATATCTCTTCAAGAAGGTCAGACAGTTGCAGTTTTCTCCATCCATAAAGGTATATAGGAGTTGGTTTCTTTCTTGTGTAGAGTTTTTGTTTTGTCACCTTAATTACCTCTATACAACTCAATTCAAATTAGTTTAAAGTATCTTCTCGACAGTTTTACAATAAATACATTTATAGGATGATCACAAAATTAAGCCAATCGAATGTAAATTACAAATTGATGTGACTAATTAAATAGTTTCACTCTTTAAAATCGAATTAATTTTTTTTGTAGTGAAGTTAATTAAATTTGCGAACACCACTAGGAGGTAAACCCATGAAATTAACCACTGCAATTCTGAAGAGGCATTGCTGGCCTTGGCGATGTTTTCCTCCAAATATGTCATTGAAAAACTTGGAGAATGAACTGTTGGGTTAATAAAAAAAAATGAATTTGGCTCAAAAATAGATAATGGTTTAGGGTTTAGGATAATTGAGTAACATTGTTGAATTGAGCCATTTCATTAAAGAATAACAAAAATATTATATGAGCCATTCATAATAAATAAATGATTAATCATGAATTGAGTAATATATCTTGTTAATAAAAAAATGAAAATTAATATGCTAATATATTCAATTTTTATTATATAATATTAACTACTGATTTTTTATTTATTTATCAATAATTAAGATTGCTATTTAGGTTAAAGGAGTTGGATATAAATTGATTGGAAGTACACTGTGCTGCTAATAATATGGCTAAGTTCCAACAAGAAAAATATAATATAGCTAAGCTAAGTAGGCGGTGCGTAGTTTTTGCTTAGTCCATAACGAAAATAACAAATACATCAATTATTTGTCTAGAATTATGACAATGACAACATATATATATATATATATATATA